GAAGGAAAACGTGTGTGCAGCGAAAACTGGTGTGCGGCACCTATCCTCGAGGACATCCGGTCCACGTCGATCGGTCATTTATCGCCGATTATGGTGAGTTATACATTGGGCTCACGCATTCTTTTATTCCGTCGGAAAAGATTTCTTTAAACTCTGCAATTTAATCATTCGCAAATACGTCGCAAGACGATCTAAATTCTCAACATTTTTATGACAATTCATCTCATTTGTCGTTAAATTGGAAATGTCATTGTTACAACAAACAATTATAATTAAGTTCAGCTCTCTAGTTTTTATAAAAGATATTAATAAACTTATTACATGATTATATAAAATTACAATTGGCAGATAGCCAAGTCTGTCAAAAATTAATTTTGCTAATCAATTTTGTCGACTACCAAGAGAAATCTACTAACAAAATATGATGGCAGATTACCTACAAAAACCGAATCAAATCATTTAAGTGAAATATAAATAAATAGCACATTCGGTTTCTACTGGAAGTTGCTGCAAAATTACTTTGGTAGGTTTACTGGCTCCGCTGTAAAACACGAGCTTCATGCGGACGTAGTAGACGTCAATCTGCCGCAATATTTAATTTCGCTGGCAAACTGCTACAATATTACAACATTTTACTTATTGAGACGTTGTAATAAACGACGAATGGTATCTACAAAAAAGAATTTGTTGTGCTGTTCCGCAGATGCACACATTGGTCATCATGCTCTACTGCAGCCTGCTCCTCTTGATTGCCGTTGCTGCACGGGCGAATATTTACTTGCCCTTAATAAAGGTAATTACGAGAATCAATAGTTGTACATGTGCAAAAAATAGATGAATTACAATGAATCGAGAGGAATTTGTTTCTGCAAAATGGAATATTTAATCTTCGAAATCATTAAGGTTTCCGAATCTTCACTTTTTTCCCCTTCAACTTGTAATATACTGACCATCGTGTTAACAATGTTACTCGATGCTGAATTAGAAGATACAATTTTGTGAAAAAGAAAATTAAAACGCGTAAAAGAAAAAGAAAAATATGTAGAAAGGAATTGAGTAAAAACAATGGTCGATTTCGAAGATAATGTCGCAAAGTAAATTCCTGTCAATTCTCTTGAATCCATCAATTTTTTGCAGGACGTGGAAAGAGCATGTAATCCACCATTCGGATGTATACAGGAAGAGGATTTATGGACGGATAATCTTCTGCGAGAATTGATCGATCAAGTAGGAAATGAATTCGCGAGTGTGTCCGATTCGTACATGGAATATCAGGAGGAGAAAGCGAAAGAACTACCCATGGAACTGCCGGCCGATTACGACGGCATGGACACGTTGAATCCGAATCCTAGTATACGAGATCAAGAGTATTTGCAGCACAGTACGCTCTGGGGCCACCAACGATTCGATAATAATAAAAATAATAATGACAAGGGTTACGACAGACATAGGATTCAATCCGGCCTGAAAGGATTCAAGGACGAGAAGGCGGAAAATCCTTTGCCGGCTTACTGCACTCCTCCGAATCCTTGTCCGGTTGGATATACAAGTGAGTAAAGAAAATTCACTCAATGGCAATCTAATCGAAAGGTAATAGAGAAAGTCGTTACAGTATTTCAATTATAAAACTTGTTTTGATTTCTATACTTACTATTTATAGCAGTACACTTGTTTCCCTCTTTGCCTTTTCCTGGTTAATATTCAAACGCAATCAAAATATGTGAAATATATTTTCTATACTTTTATGGTATGAAATATTGTTTTTTTTTAAATTTGGAAAACAGTAATTTCACGGCATATTTAATTTATTTACAGGTGAGAACAATTGCCTCACCAATTTCGAAAATACAGCGGCGTTCAGTCGCGATTATCAAAGCGCGCAGGACTGCATGTGCGACACGGAACATATGTTAGAATGCTCCAACGATTCCGGAAACAGCAACAGTTTGTCGAACATGCATATTTCCAATTCCGATCTCAATCAAATTGTCGAACAGTTTCAGGTAATTGAAACACATAATATTTTTAATCAACTTTGACCAGTCAACATTACCAGAATTAATTTCTTACCCTTTTTTTCATAGGAAGAAAACTTGAATTCATAAATAAAGTTAAGCAGAATAAAACACTGAAATTAGAATTATGTTCTTCTTTCAGGACGAAAATCCATTCTTTCAAGGAGAAAAATTGCCGATAGCTGCAAAGAAAGGCATACACGTGATCGATTAAAGACTGCAGAAATAAACTCGAAACGAAATTATTGAGAAACAAACGTCAGAACATATACATAATACAAACATTGATTCAAGTTGTAAACCGATCGAAAAACGGGCTTCTATTCAGATACCGACTATTAGATGCATAATTAGGCACCGCCTAATAATAATAAATTAAACACACGCATTTACGCAGCGTTAAAGCGTCAAACATTGAGAAACGTTGTAACGTTTCCAAGTCTGATGATGCACGGACAAAGTTCTTAAATGGACCACGGCTGTTTATCAGCGGGTATATTAAAGTATATATATATATCTTTTTCTTTTCATAGAACATTAATAGAGATCTTGCCAGATACATGTGATTATATACGTGTACGTTTTAAAATTATCAAGTGTCTACAGTTGCAATTATTCGGTTTATAGAACAATTTTCGTACAAGCTGACATTTTTTCAATCTACAGAAATGCAGAGTGTTTCGTGATGTTTGTAAGATTCTGTATTTTATAGAAGACTTTCTGTATTGGGTAGCGATTGAACACTCTATTAAACATATCCAGATAAATATTCAACTTTTTCATAAAGTTAAAGAGAAATCTATCATAGAAGTCGACTTGGATGTACGTACACATAAAATAATTCTGATATAGTAAAATGTTGTATAAATTGTATACACCATAATATGTAATTGTGTTTTGTCAATTATATTTTATTTTAATATATAGTGTATCAAACAAAATATATTTATTTTTTCATTATAAAACCTCTGAAATATATACTTAAACAATAAATAAAAATGTGTATGGGTGCTTTTTATAATTACAACCACCTAATTGTACCAACTATAAAGAATCATAAGATAAAATTTTCCTTTAAATTATATAGTTATATTTAATTGTATTGTGTGTATGATGAAAAAGTCTGTGGTAAAAGATACAAAGAAATATAAAACTACTACATACAAATGATAGTATAAATATTGTGTAAGGTAAGTATAATGATAGCTGAAATGCATATTAATATAAAGTTATAACATTCATGTATAAAATAGTAATAATACTCCAATAACATTATCATATAAAAGTATATATAAAAGTACTAGAGAAATCTGGTCTTACTTAACACAAAATATATACAATAAAGATTATTATATTAAAAATCACCATCTTTCTATCGTACAATATTTACAATAATCATTTTATCATTTTGTTTGTAACGTTTATTTTACAAACAAATAATATTACTGTTTTCTGAAACTCTTTAATATCGGATATATGTTATTTAACGCTTTTTGTAGTTCAGTTCTATCTTTTGCTCCTAAAAATGATATACATTGAATAATTGCCTGTTGTAAGAAAATAAAGGGAAAATATTCGAGTATTAAAACATACCTGTTAGCACTACTTTACCATTGACAAATATCAATAGTACCACCCTAGGCGATACCATTCTGTATGTCAAGCCAGGATATAATTCTGGCTCATAACTGGAAAACTGACTGTGCATCTGACTTAGGTTTTCTAACTTGATTGGAAATTTCAAATCACACGTCGCAACTATGTTCTGTATTTTAAAAGAGGCAAACTTTACCTATAAATACGAAAGCACCGTATGTTACAATTGGACAGATTGTTCGAGGCGATAGATCTGAGCTGAGGGATATCGCTTACAGGGAATCCGAGCTTCTGGATTATCCTGGCAAACTTCTTCGCCGCCAAAAGCGAATCTTCCTCGCTTCTCGCGCCGGTACATACTAATTTGCCGGATCGGAAAATGAGCGCTGTTGCTCTGGGATTTTGTATCCTCATTATCAAACCGGTAAACCTTGCTGGATTATATTCGGAATTCCTAGTTCTCACATTGATGTACATGAGCTTCAGTTCCGTTTGCAAGTTAACTGTAGAGACTACATTTCTGCGAAGGTAATGCGGACTTGAACGTAACAATTTTTACGTTCGTTGAAGAAATGACTGGAAACTTACTGTAAACAAGGCTCCAACACTTCTGCCGTGCTGTTAGCCGGTGCTATCGGGGTCATCGTCGACTGTGGATTGATACTTTGCGACGTGCTCGGCCTCGGCACGTTCGTCTACATGTGAAATTGACACTTTAGAATGCACACCTAAACTCCAACATATTTAATAACCTACCGATAACGGCGGAGCCATGGATCCATCCTCGCTCGCATTCTTCGCTGGATTATTGAGCAATCTTTTTAATTCGTAGTCTTCCTGCGCAATTTGCGTCATTTTATAAAGACACCGGCGTCACTCAAATCCGCATGGAACGGCACATGACCGCCTATAACCTCAGTCTCGCGATATCGTTTACAGCTTGCCAGGCACCGACGATTGGTAAAATCGTCTCGGTGATTATCGACGTGATATAATCTCTCTCTCAGCCGTTCGCAAGTTTATTCAACATTTGGACGATTGAATTCTTTTGTAGTAGAAATGATTTGTAACAAAGGCCTTTGATATTTCTGCACGCAGTCACGCAGATTGCAGAACGCCGCGGGCCGCGAGAGCAGTGCACCGAGTGCGCGTCTTGGCCAATCAGCTTGTCCGCTTTCTCAGAAGTGACAGCTGGCGGCCGAAAGTGCCAAATAGTGCCAATCAGTCCAAGCCAACTAGCCAAGTTGTGCGACTGGTGCAGCCATTCATCGATTCAGCTAAACAAAGTTCGATCGAGGTCCAGTCAACCGGAGTATCGCCCAAGGGATAAATGGCGGGTCATAATTACCTGAGCGACCCGAGAAATCCCTTCTTCTCGTTAGAGGACGACGTGGACGACGAGACATTTCTGAGGAGCGCGCCAGCCAGGACTGCACCCGCGGGGCGTTATCAGAATCTCGACAATGACATTACGCAAACACGCCAGCAGTTGCTGCAACGTAAGAAGGAGATTGAGGAACGCACGGTACAATCCTCGGAAAGGTCCGTTTCGCTTCTCCGAGATTCCGAACAAATTGGTGTAGCTACAGCCGAGGTAACTGAGACGATACACTAGTATGTGGATAACATGTAGATAGCGTGGACCGATTGGAAATTATGCCTGTTTCACTTCCCTCTCTATTTCAGGAGCTAATCAGACAAAAGGAACAGCTGCAGAGGACGGAGAAAAGATTAGATGATATCAACAGTACATTAAGATTTAGTCAGAAACATATTCAAGGCATAAAGAGTGTATTTGGTAGTCTCAAGAATTATCTCAGTGGCAAATCGTTGGATGCTCCGATACCATCTACTAAACTCTCAGAGTCTTCCAGTTCTGGATCTATGACGTCTCCTGCATTGTCCAATACTCTGGAACAAGTACAAAACGACATGAGTAATTCGTACTCGTCGACAATGATAAGAGCAAGTTACGACGACCATGATCTGGAGGATGTTAAACCGGCTGGCGACAGGGTAACCAAGGTTCTCGAACAAAATCTAAGTGAGATGAGTGGATCATTGGCAAGACTGAAACATCTAGCGATCGGTTTGTCCGAAGAAATTGATTCGCAGAACGATCTCATCGATAATATCACTGATAAAACAGAGAAAACAGACATCATGTTGCAGCAACAAAATAAAGATATGTTACATCTATTGAAGAAATAAGGTTATATCGGAAGCTTCTTGCTTGTACTATTATGATATTAAATATACTTCTATGAAGTATATATACATATTGCACGACAGATCTTTCACGTTAATTTCTATTGTTAAATCTGGTGTGATATCAATTATGTTGCGCGAATGTCTTTTATAGAGAGTTTTTCACAAGGCGAGATTGCGAACAAGTTTATTGTTAGAATCCGTCGTCTTTAATAAAGAAGCACTTCTTATATGTATAATTGTTTATACCGTACAACTAAATGCCTCATCTTTACGTGCGAATGTTAAACTAAAAAAGATTTTCGTTATTTCTCAACATCTTTTGTAGCCTTTTAAGATGGAAACTGTGATAAGTATATATGTATATCCATGTGTAACAATTGTCCTAAGTTGATCTTGATTTATTATCGGTTTGAAAACACAATTTATCTAAGAAATAAAAACTTGTAAACGTCAACATATATTTAATGAAAAAATCAAACGAATATGTTACGTCTAATGTTCTAATGTCAAGTGTTTGTTATTGCGTAAATAAGTTGGATAGTATCTCTGGATGATCGACACCTTGCTTTAAAAACAATTTTTCACAAGTTCTTTTCTTACACGTATCCAAATCTTTTTATACTTAATGTAATTTAGACATAGATGTGTGCATTATATAAAAAATAGTTTGATTTGTGACAAGAGCAATAATAGGTAATAGAATATATAATAGACAATAATTGTGTACAGTTATAATTCATCAATTTTAATATTCTTTTATCTTTAGTTTTATATATGTATAAATATAGAACATAAGATAAAATTGCGACTTTGTATACAAATACATAATAATTGCACACGATTTACATTATACAACTGCCAGGATTATTGAATAAAAGTCCATACAATTTTATTTTGTTATTTATTATGCTGAAATGTTAAATATTCAATTTTACTAAAAATTATTTAACGTTCCCTTGACATTGTGCATTTCTATTTTTCAAGTTACAATACAAAGACTTGCTTCTCGTCTTTGGAAAAGTGTCAATTTATTAATAGTTTATTCATACATATCGAATATTTTTTCCAGCTTTATCCGAACAAGTCGGAAAATAAAGGATTAATAATCACGGCGAGAATCCGTCTGCAAGTTTTTCGCTCCATCTATTCTACGGCCCAGTGTTGTCATCGTGCTGCGGTGTTACATCCCTAAAATAAATATACCGATATAGTATCAAGTGTTGGAGCAATATGATACAAATTTGCTCGTATTGCGAGCAGTTGCATCTATATTTTTACGTATTTCAAAAAGGCGTATTGGATATATTATCGTATGCAGTGACTCAAGAGTTAATGTGGCGTCCTCGGCGCATTTTGCGAACGGTCGAGTCGAATAGACGGAAAGGCGAAATGAAGGCAAGAATAATGTCTACTCACCAGAGGGTTGCTCCGCCGTGGTCCGATGCCTCTCAGATTCCTCCATTTCGCACCGGCCGCGGCACTCGCGAAAGAGGAGCCCGTTTCTCTCGCCGCGCGAGTTAAAATAGGGGTTTCTCGCGAGGGTGTCTAATAATCTACCACCGTCGTAAAAGTCTGCTGCGTGTCGGCGGCACTCCGCGATCCTTCTCGAACAGACCAACATATATGGTACGCGATACTACGCGAGTCGAGTCAGCGACGCGACTTCAATGTAAGGGTAAAATCACACGGTACGGGACGTCGATCCGAACAGCCAATCAGCGCAGGATAGAAACATGCGGAAGAGCACTGATTGGCTCATTCCCGTACCATGTGAATTCACCCTAAGTATACATACACTTCAATTCACTAGTCTGGATATACCGACAAACTCGATCAAGCCGCGAGGCTTTCTTCTCTATTCAAGTTACATCGGAGGAATAGCGTGCGCGAACGGTAGATGGCGATTCGCGTCGCTGACTCGACTCGCGTAGTATCGCGCAGTCGCGCCGCCATCTTGTCTTTTCGAGAAGCATCGCGGAGTGCCGCGGACACTTGGCGGGCCGGTGGTGAGTAACGCTCATCAAGTTGAGCTATCGCGGCGTAGATTACTCGACACTCACGCGTCGGCGATCCACTCGGCGCGAGGGCGCCGAGACGCCTCAATCTCCAAAGAGAATCCTCGCGACGCCATCGTATTCTATCTCTTTTTCTCCTCGTTGCAACGAGCGTCGGTTTAACGCCGGGTCGCGCCTCAACTTGGATATAATCAGCTTCTCTTTCGCGAGTACCGCGTCCTGCCGAGTGCCGGTGCGAAATGGAGGAATCTGAGAGGAAGCTGCGGTCTGGGATCGGCATCGGACCACCGCGGAATCCCTCTGGTAAGAGTACAATTATTTATGCGTTAACTTCATTCCGCGGATTGCTTTTATATTTCGTATACGCGTAGCGCGGCCGTTTCATTCTCAGTCGTGCTAGAAAAATTAATATTCAGAATCTCGCATTAAATACACGAATACCGATCAGATCTAGAATGAAAATGCAATCGTCTTCGGAGTGATTTGAGACGTTGAAATGTTCTTAACTTGGTTGTTTTACCTATTTACAGATTTCTATCTATCCTCTGGTGTAATTGCGCCCCCAGCCACGCCCCCTGCCTCCACAAGCTACACTATCAATCCCAAGAATAGACTTGCCGGCGCTTATACTTATCATCGCCTGAAAGAACGAGTAAGTAAGAAGAGTTGTTCGATATTAATATTGAATAATATTCCTTTATTTCTAGGCTAACGCGCAGACACAGAAATAACAGCGAGGAATTGCATCTTACTGTGTGATACTGAATAGTGCAAAATCGTTTAAAGAGTTTTGCTAGTCAATACGTTTCCAAGTGGTAATTATTCTTACCATGATGCATACGGCAAAGAAGCCGAGTATTTTGCTGAGCAACTTCATCTTTCACTGAAATATTTGCTCCAACTAATCTCGTACACGCTGGCGTTCCTCTTTATATTATCACAATACAATTGTATCTTTCATCAAAATGTTTGTTTGCGCGATAGTGCTTCCGCACTTCCGGAAACAATAGCGAGTTGAATTTCCAAGTTCCATTCCACCATATATCTGCTCGTATACACATAATCGTGTAAAATAAACATATCCTCACTTGCGACAAAACAATCATTAGCATTACTTTTCTTTGTTATTTGTTGGATTTTAGAGATAATAGAGAATACCGCGCAACAGAGTTACACAACCATTTTTTACTTCTTCATGACCTATATATGTCTATTTATAGACATTTTAGACGTTCCATTTGCATTTGTTCCGACTACTACTAAAACTTTATTGCTTACGTTGATTTTCACGAGTAAGGTTAAATTTCTTTTTATTTCTGTGAATTTCAATTAGCTTCATTTTATGCAGATCCTATAATTATAGCTTTATTTAACTTTCATAGCTTTTCCTCTACATCCGAATATTAGTGATACTTGGCACTTGCTTTACATTATTTCCTGCGACGAAAAATATTTTGTTAATGAGATTGACCATGTTATAGTCAATAATTGGTTTTCCTTGTAATCAAGCCGGCATTTTATCTCAACGTGGTTAAATTAGTTTGATCGAAAAACAGTTTTAAACATGAATTATCATACGTTTCGAGCAAAGCGTAATTTCTTTTTGGAGCATTTGCATTGATTTGTAATGCCAACACGTGCGTAAAGTGCCATTAACGCGTCCGATGATCGTCTACGTCATTGGCAACGGAAGTTGCCTCGTAAGCCACTCGTTCAGCCTCCCTTTGTGCGGCGATCGCTGCGTGTTGCTCCGCGATTCTGTGATACAATTCATTGTGTCTGTCCTTCGCTTTTGCCACGCTCGCTGAGTCCTGCAAAGCAATTAAGCAAAGCAATGAAAAAACACGCAAATTATCCGCCTAATCTTTATCGAGATATTCCAATTCCCGGATACGGGAAATGTCTAGTTTTTGGACAAATAAAATGCTTCTTCATTCTCATCGCCTTTCTGACAAACAATTCTACTTATTAATTCTCTCTTAATTGACAATTTGTTGGAACTCGACGAATCTTCAGTTTTACTATTCTGTAAGAACAAATGCATCAGATAATTACTCGCGGCAAATTTACTGCAACGTTTCGAGCGTTTGCCTCTGCAATCCTGTGATAAAGACGGAAATGTTTCTCCTTGGCCAATCTTACAGCTTCCGAATCGGCAGGTTGAGCGAAAGCATCCTCAAAGTTGATCAAAGCAGGATGAAATCCATTTTTATCGGCCGTATATTCCACTGTTCGTACTTTGTACTTTGGATCGATGTACGAATACGTTCCTAAAATATACACATATGTTATTAAGATATCTATAGCTTGCATTATTTCTTCTAATTACTGCATTGTTCAACATTAAATTAGTCAAGTTACTTTTTTATAATTAAAAAGCAACACCTAAGAATTAGATTCAATAAATCTTATCTTAATACTCATTTCAATTCGACAAGTTTGATCCTTTATTTTGCACTTCAACTCAATACAAAATCAAAGAATAATTTGTGATTAGATATGACGAGTACGTTGATCTACGATCACGATCTATGTATTGACTAGTAATAGAAATCCTCAAGTAACAAGTAGACAAAGAGCAAAGTTTAAAGCGACATATGTAGATCTACATCTTCCGTGTTCCAATTATGAGTGACAATTGATATTTGCGATTACCGTGAATAATTCCATGTCCATCTCCGGTTTCTTGATGAATACGATCGATATGTCCTGGATATCGTCCTGCCTCATATTGAAAGTTATACGGTTTCGGAGGTGGTGGTGGTGTCGTTGTCGAGTATTCCGAAACATGTGATACATCCGCCAAGCATACGTTAATGAGAGCGACGACTGTCTACAGTTTAATATAAAATTTTATATAATATAAAATAATTTTGTCAAGTGATTTCATTACATCTAAAATGTGCAAATCTTCTAAAATGCACTTAATTTGAGATTAATCCAAAAAGAGAGGAATGAGATTTTATTTAATAATCAAAAAGTGTCTGTATTTAAAACGTGCTTTTATTTATTCTAAATTCTACGTTAATTATTTAACAACAATCAAGCTTTTTAGTCGACATTAAACGGCCAGTGTTTTAATACAAAAGATTTATTGCGAAATTAATTATTGAACTTTTTTAAATAGAGCAAATAAATTTTTCAACATTTTTAACGATTTATTCAACTTTTTATTACAAGGAGTTTACAGAAAATGAATGAGAAACTTTATTATATTACAAAGAATGTAGCAACTTTTGCGCATCAATGAAATTCCAAGTAAGCAAATTGCATAATCAACCGGTTGTTTCATCATACAAATTACTGTACATTGTCTCGACAACTTTTCAATTAGGATTATCTGCCCTTTGATGATTTTCTCTTCTTTATTTTGCAACATTTCCTATTTGTAAAGATATTATAATATTGCACTCATAGTCAATTGTGTATAACAAGATACACATCTATAAACTTTGTTTATGTTAATAAATCTATTATTATGCATTGAGTTAGGTGCAGATATTCATCTGAAATATTTATATAATTAATTAATCGTAAAACTATGCTATTTACTTACAATTATGTATTTCATTGCGAGACTGAGAAGCCGATTGGATTATTTCATCGGTATATTCACACGCGCGTTTTACCGTTTACTGCGAGGTTAACTTGATGGTGAAAGTATTATAAGAAACTGTCGAAAAGTAGGTATTGTAAAGGTTTCTCCACACCGAAACAGTTTCTATATGACTCGTAATAATAAACTTAACTTGTTAAAGTACCAAACCGGTTTTTTAAGTAACAAAATTTTTACAAAATTATTGTTTATATCATCATTAACATTTCTTTAGACCAACAACGCTATAATAATTACTACGTTTATATTTAACTAGAAAACGGAAATAAGAATGTTTATAGTCGACACAACTGGCTCTCTCTCTCTCTCTCTCTATCGAATGCTCTTTGTTAATTACAGGTACTTAATCACTAGTAATTAATAAAGTAAAGTAATTAATTAATGAAGAGAAATCGATAGTTGTATCGACTATAAAATTTTCTATTCCGTTAATCATTTACTAGCAAGACAAAAATATTATTCTTGTTTAACAGAATAGTTGATTGTATGCTGATATTAATGCCTCGCACACTTATGCGATGATTTCAATTTATAATAATAATGAATAATTTTTTGTTTCTCATTTATATACATTAAAGATTGTTTACATGTTATTAAAATATTTTATTACATTACGTAAGGACGTTCAGAACCATTTTAAATGAAACAATATACAGTATAAACTTTCTCAATGAAAAAGGGATTTTAAATCTATAAATTTAATCTTTATTGAAATATAATATAGTAATATAATGTTATCTTCACAATATATCTGTTGTTAATTATTAGGATTAAATAATGAAATTTGATTATCGCAGGAAATCACTGCATATAAAAAGACGCAAATAAGAAACCTGATTGCCAAGTAAACGTGAAGTAAAGAAATAAGATTAATATAATTAAGTTGACGATTCATACATACAATTGCAATATATGTACCTATCTATTAGATAAATGAAACTTAATTTTATTTAATCAACAACTAGTACAGTTGCTATATTTAATGCCATTAAGTTTGACTAAATATTTAGTGTTAATAAACATTAAAATAGATTTTCAAAACAGGTGTTATCGTATTCTAAAAATAAGACCAATATACCGATGTTGCAAATTGATTATTTGTTCAATCAATTTCGAGCTTCTTAAAGCTTCCTTCAACGCCAAACAAATCCGTTGCTGTCTTCGCCTTGCCCGGTCGTAGCGATTCATTAACACGATGATTAGCTTCGTCCTCTTGAAACCAAGCAACGTTATCGACCAATTTTTTCACCTGTTTATTGTGTAACTCCTGTAGAGAACCGGCTTGACCGCCTGATTCGTTCGGAAGGACTTCGAGCGGTACGAATTTCTCCAAGGTTTCACTCGTGGTGTGCATGTGAAACTAGAATTTATAGAAATATTTCAAAATAGTTTATTGATTTGTATGCTTTTTTTGTTATGCTATCAAGTTATACATATACTCTACTCCACGCAATTTAACAAAAAATAATTAAATTATGTATTATTGGCCGTAAAAAGATAAAATACAATATTTATTTCTCAACATTTAAAATCGTACTTTAGATGATGCAGCGTCTTGGAAATAATTTACATGAAATTTACAGCAACGTGTGTAAAGATTTCAATCTTACCATATCCAGCAACTGCTTTTTCATAAATGGTTTCATCATATTTAAAATGACATCTATTACCGGAGAAGCATTCATGAAATGCATGCCCCTCAATCTGACGGGTAGCCCTTCTTGCAGATAATAGAGGAATTTCTTTAGGGCCATAGGACTCAAACGGCCGACGTGGCCGAAAGTAACGTTTTTCATATCAAATAATATTATGTGGCCATTGCAAGTGCCTTCGGTATAAAGCCATAGATCGATTACCATATTTAGCAATTTCATGGCATCATTGTAAACGAAATGCGATGGATCGTTGTCTAGGAGTTTTCCATAAATGATTTTATAGCCTTCCCTAGTAGTTCCTTCCAAAAATTGGTCTGTTCTGTCAGTAATAAGGATCGTTTCTAATTTGTATGCGAAATTTCTCTGGGAGAAATATTGCTGCATCCATTTGTGATATATTTAAGGAATATCACGAATAAATTATACTTACACTGTTTCGATTGCTTTCTTCAGTTCCTTGTTGTTTTCAGGATCTCGATTGCAGAAGAATTCAGGTACGTGAGACCTAACTGTGTAAAAAGTATCGATAGTAGTTTTCGTCGGTTCCAGTCGATAATAATTGCTATGCAAGAACAATGCTAATTCGCTGTCTGATATCTTGGGCAGGTGAGGCTGCTTTTCGCACCATTCTCTCAACATTTGTATATCTGCCTCTTTCAATTCGGGATTCTTCTTCAGTTCCTCCTCGAACGATACTGGTTTTATCGAAGCCATCGTTCACTTTGAATTTAAACTTGTATAGAAATTGAATTAATAATCTTAACAAAAATCGTGTGAGATTACTTTCTATCGTAGCAACTCTCACTTATTATTAACGTATGGCTCAACGAAAATCGCGCGAAAGCTATTCTTTCAATGTATGCACGGTGTATCGTAAGTCACGCTCTGTGGGAAATGAATTAACGATAAGTCGAAAGTGAAGAATTACGAAATTACGTTTGAGCTCTCTTTAAAAGAGTTACAATCCAATCAAAACAATCGGAAAAACTTATTTGGTTTATTAATTGATTAGTGCGATTCTTTAATATGATTTTTACATTTTGATCCATCCAAGATTTAAAAGTAACAATCACATACAATATTACTCACTAATCAGTTTTCTCTACTGAACACAGCCGTAACTCTTTTAAAAAAGATTCAACGTCATTTCATTAGTCTTTATTTTTGACTTATGTTGACTTCGTCAATACATTCTCTAGAGATCGAGCGTGACTTATGATATATCCTGTAGATACATAACAACATTTCATCTCGTTTACTTGATCTTTCGATAAAATTAGCAACCACCTCACATAAAAGCTATGCGAAATATGTATATTTCATTGCAACTTTTTACTATAGTATAAATTAACGAAACATATTAGTAGTTTATTAATAATAGCGAATAAAATACACACGTATAAGTTCCTTTTACCTTATATGCTGAGGATATATGCTGAGAAAGTATGCAAAAGGATCCCGTTGGACTTGCGATTAGTCTGAAATCTTGAACAGTACTGAGATCCGCTATAGACCTTTTAAGCTGTATCGATGGAAGCGGTAACGGTATATAGGTATAACGTGACAGTTAAATACGGTTATTGACGTACATGACATCACGAGCTATCGTTGTGATAATTAGGGAATGTAAGAATGTATGAAATTCTCTTATATCGACACATGTACTTTTCTCAATCAGCAAAAATGAGAGACATGCAATCCGTAGTAACGACATACGTCTGGTATGGATTAGCATTTTTATCATTATACGTAATAAAAATTAAAATATGCATATAAATAAATAAAAAACGAATGTGTTTTGAAACAAATGTAAGACAGTAAAATAAATATCGTTATAATATCAATAATTTACTAATATCTAATAGAAAAGTATTAATACTTATTTGCTGCACATATATGATTAATCATGTCGATTATTGGAATTTATCTATGTCTACTCGTCCGTTATTTAAAAATATTAAAAAATGGATCGAATTAATGATACATAAAAATAGAGTTTCTGAAATACCTGCAAACGGATATGAATCTACACACACACACACAAATTTACACTTAATAGTTATCTAGTGCTTTATCATTAGACACGTAACTATACAGGATACGTAACATTTTTTCAAACATTGTGTCACAAAAGAGAAATCACATCTCAACAAAGCTATTAAAGTGACTTTAAGAAACATGCAAATGCTATGTGAAAATAGTTTAGTTTGTCATTGGCGTGCCGAAGATTACGTTATGCTAAAATGCAATGAAATAGTATTAAGACAAATCTAAAAAAATGCATTGTCAATTCGTGATACATCCATAGAGTTTAGTCGGTACGACTAATAGTCGTAGCTGCGCGCAGCTAGTATCTTCAACAAATATGTATAATAACTACAGATTGAAAAACATAAGTTACACTGAAAATATCGTTACATCTGATAGCAGGTAAACATGATTAAGTAATATTTATTATATTATTCTCGCGATATTTATGAAAAAAGACTGCAGCTAAGAAAACAAATAATTTTCGAAAAATCCTTATTGTGCCAAATAGCTCATTAGAAGTTTCATGCCAATCCGAATGTAATTGCTCACATGATCGAGCTATCGTTTTTCAAAAATTATGTGCAGAAATTTGATTAATTTTTTTATTTACACGTTTATTAATTCTTGACTAAAACTAATTTTTTCGTTAAACTGGTTGAGCAGTTATCGGATTTATCAGATATTCGATATTGTGCATTTATTATTGATTGATTGAAAACGTTGCAATCATCAGATTTATTGAACAAGATTTAAAATTAAATAAACGAAAACCGGAAAGTAATGTCATTTTACAAGAGACGTTCTTTTCATTAACGAGATTTGGAAGATTCTGTGTTTAGATATAGTTTCGTCGATCGAATTGATCACAATGATACACTTCTACAGTATAATCTGACCCTCTTTTAACATCTTGAAACGCACCATTTTGGAGATATACCATCAAACTGATAACAATGCCTTTTTCGGGTGAAAGCCTACTTGTGGTGACAGAACAGGTTTTTATCCTCGAGATAATTACCGCAACTTTCACTCTGAATTCTCAAACATCAGTACCAGTATCAGTAACAACGCAATAAAAAACTGGCTTATTTGTCTAACGATTTAATAAAAACAATACTGAGTCTTATGCTATTCACCCAATTCATGTAGCGTTCAAACACTATGCTTACACACTTAGCAATCTTATATTATACTTGTACAGTTTACCAGCACAGATATTTTCCGGGAGTCGCAATTGTATTGTCACACTTAAATTTATACAGTATAATATGTCTAATAATATAGTCTTCGTTGACGTCTTCGCCATTGTAGTTATTCACACTTAACCAATCAAAAATTTACTTATGCATTAATTCACGCCTCTTGCGTCATTTATACAGGGTGTCTGATGCAAAAGTAGCAACTTTGAAAATAGTGGTAGATTGGGTTAAACTAAGGAGAAATATCATGTACTGCGGTACAAAGTAACATTAGTTATTGAGTAGTAAATTTACACGTTTGAGCGAATAAGGATGCAGGGGAC